AACTATAATCACTGCCTGTTTCCTGGTAATGTGTTGTTATTGGCCATGCAAGTTTATGAACATGTAATTGTTTATATATTACAAAAGAAAAAGACTGTTGCTGATCAGATGCATTCCAGATATTTGAGGAAAAGATGTTTTCTATAAGGATAAGCAGCTATAGCAAATGAGGTTAGGGGAAATATTGAGTTCAAATAAATGATTTAATAATTGTAATGACAGAGATATCATCACAACAGCAAATGTAATTAGGTTTGTATGACTAATTAATGAATATGCTATAAATAATAGCAAAATGCTGTAGTGGTCGTCCATCAGACTTTGAGGTGGTGGGGGAGATTTGGACCTTTGTGTCAAGGGGAGGGGGTTCAGAAAGTAAGATGACACTTTTCAATGTTCAACAAACACTCATTTTAAGAAACTGAATTTAAACCTTTATTTGCATCATTAAAAGCCGTTTTATAAATTGTTATAAAATAATTCATCAATAGGCCTACATTGAATGTTGGAAAAGCCCATAGGTCTAAATATTTTATGAAAATCGCTGCAATAGGGGTCGGCGTGGTCGAGTCGGTAAAAGCTCATGGTTGCTAAACCGAAAAGTCTCGAGATCGAACCCTCGGGCAATGAGGCTCGTTAGCTGGGGACAGCCACTCTTCTAGGAGAGACAACTCCAAAATCAAACAACTGCTGCCTTGTAGTTTGTTCTTGGTTGGCCTCAATGGCGCATAACCAGTTGACACGTAATCCTTAATTGTGATGGAAGCATGGTCGAGTCGGCAAAGCTCATGGCTGATAAATTCGAAAAAAAAAGTCTCGAGTTCAAACCAACTGAGGCTCGATTGCCCCCAACACTAAAAATTAAGAACGAAGAAGAAGAAGAAGAAGACATCAGATATATGAATTCGTTACATCACTAATAGCAAGCTTAGGTTTACTTTTTTGGGGAAGGGAGAGGTCTGGCATCGTTGTGACATCGTTAAAAGATGCATAGTCAGAGGCCGATCTAGGTTGATTAGGTGTATATTAAAATGTTGATATTTATTACGCTTTACTTATTATAACAATTTAATATAGCCTAGTAGTTTATTTATATTAAATAATATAACATCCCCTTGCACCACAACACCCTGACTATACTAATCCAAATTAAAATAAAAATGTTTTGTAAATTACTATTATATTATTAGTAATTTTGTGTATAAATATTTTTAGCCTTAGTAAAACCGGAAGAGACTTTGTACTTATTTCACAAATGTTATAAAATATTCAATTTTGGTTCAAAAATATGCTTTCTGGCAACACAAAGTGGAACCACTTTTGGAACCACTTTTCCTACCTATTATGTCGAAATGTTGAACACTGATATGCAACAAGTGACCCCTGCATAAACTCATTGATTCTATTGATCAGTGGCTTAGCCAGGATCGCCTAAAGTGTGGGGGGTGTCAAATCTTTCACACACACACACACACACACACACACCCAAACACATATGGTATTTTGTTGATTAATACAATATATAGTTTGGTTTTAATTTTTCCATTAGGTATTGGTAGTCTGTGTTATTTTAAACAAGTATAAACATAGACATCAGATAAAACAAAGCCCCTTCTTTTTCATAATCTTAACAATCTTTCATTCCAATGCTCTTGATCAATAAAATGTTTCTTTTCCTAAGTTTCCGATAATGAAAGCTGAATTACAATTTATTTCAATACTCACTTTCTGTAGATATATACGTTTATTTTAGAAATCTCTACCGTTTATCCCCCTTTCACCTCCGAACGATATTGAAAAAGGGAATTCATTAAAAAACAAGTAATTTAAAAAAGTCTAGTGACAATTTTTGCGCAATTTCCTTATGTTATCTGAAAATAGCTCTGTCGTAGCGTAAATCAAGAGCAGGGTTAGTAAAACCATTGGTTAGTTATTAAAACGTTTTTTGTTAATTTTTTTTTTCAGTATTTTACATGTTTTATTTACAATAGAGTAACATGACTAAAAACCATTGCGCGCCTAGCTACCGAACGTGATGTCGCAGCCATTGAACGTGATGGCGCAGCTATTGAACGTGATGACGCGTGTGGTGTGGTTGGATAAAATGCCTACTAATTCGGTCCAAATTTTAATTAATTCAAAAAAAATTTTGAGACCGAATGAAAGGATATTTTTGAAAACTTTCTTCGGCAAGATTGTTCAAAATTATGACAGGAATCGATTGGTACATGTTTCAAGTCGCTAAGTGGTCTGGTTGCCTAGATATGGGCCAAAAACTGCATTTTTTCAAGGTTTTTTGGCTTTTCCGGGAAATCCATGAAAGAAACCCGAAATTTGTATGGCCTATGTTCATCCTGGTAACTTGCTTAATATAATTGCTTTTGGAACTAGTCCTCGATATTGCTTCGTTGAGGAGGAGATACGACTTAAAGCCCGGACACACATTCCCAGAAAAGACGAGTTAATAAACGCAATTCTCCAGAATGGAAATTGCGCTAAAAAATATAGAAAAACCAGTATCCGCAACCCCCCCCCCCCCTTCCAACCCCCCTCGCACTTCGGACTGTTTAAAATGACGTTCCCTGGAAATAAATATCTAAAAGAAAAAGTTATCAGAATTGCCAATGTAACGGGTACCAATTGCTTGTTTATATAGAAAATATATACTTTTATTTGTGTCAGGCCCTCCACCCTAAGAAATTTATCTGCACGCCCCGCTCAAAATGTATAGTGCCCCCCCCCCCCCCTCTACTCTCGGAGAAAAAATGTATGAAAAAAACATCATTTCCATGATTGAGATTTAAGGGTCATCCATAAATGACGTTATCCAGTTGGGATGAACCACTGGGGGCGGCCACTGGTAAGAGTATGTTTTCTATATAGGCCCCTAAATTATATTTCGCTAAAGGGGACGGTAGACGTGGTTTTGGGGGAGTGGTGACTATTTAGATAAAGTATTTATGTATGCAAATGTGGACCATATCCATATTCAAAATAATTAATCATTCTACTTATATCAAAATGCATATTATGACTCTACAATAGGTTGAAATTTAAATGAAAGATGAATTTTTTTTTTAATATGCTGATTTTAACTTTAAGAGTCTTAACTTGTTAAAGAAATAATAATGTATTGTATATTGAACTATATTGCCTTATTTCTACTAACTTTCAAGGCCTAAGTGGCATACTAAATGCTAAATGATGATATCGATACTTTTAAAAGCAAAACTATTTATGCAGCAGACGATCATCTTGCTTCGTTGCATTAGCTAACTGGTACTTGGAGTACGTAGGCCTAGCATGAAACCTGTTAATTAATTAAATAGATCTAGAATCTAGGTCTAGTCTAGACTGAGTCTAGACTTTCTAGATTCTAGATCTAAAGTCAAGACTAGATTTCTAAAATCTAGAAAATCTTAGATCTCTAGATCTAGAATCTCTCTCACTCTCTAGTAATTAAAAAATTATTATCTAATGGACACAAGCGAGTTGACGAGATTCCTTCCGTAATGTTGTTGACATGGAATAAAAATGTGCTTTTTTAGATTTAGGACCATAAAACTAATAAAAGATAAAATTTTATTAAAAACTTAAGCCTAAAATTAATTCAGAAATGTAATATTTTTAGAATCAATGCTATACAAGTTGCAGATCCAGAGAACTTGAAAATAATTTGTTGAGTTTAAGGCTACATTTCTATTTATTTTCATCAAGCCTAGCCTAAGTTATAACCCGATGTTTCACTTTCGTAAGACAAACATTGATTGGCTGTAAAGGAACTCCGTGATCGATTTCTGACAGCCCCACTTTATAGTTATTTTGTTTACAAAACTTTGCAGATCAAGTTTTTAAATAACTATGCAAATTTAAACACCATGACCTATTTTTTCTATTTTTAGCTTACAATGTGTACAATAAAATTTATAGCGGCCATTGTTTATGTCGCCATTACACGTGAAAACCAAATTGTTTTTGCTTTTTTTTTATTTTTTATTTAGTTACCGAAAATATTAAAAACATCAAATACATCCAATCTTTAGTAAAGTCCGAAAAAAACCAGACAGACAGGATTTTATAACCATATTAATTGTAACTACGCCGTGCAAGATTTTTAAATGAATGTATACACCTCTCAAATACCTTTGAGACTTTTCTCGCTGGTGTCCACTCTAATACTAGGCCTAATAGTTAGGCCTACTAGATTCTAGATCAAATTTCAAACACTGCGGTTTTGCATAAAACATCAAAATAAAGTAGCTAGATCTAGATCAAGATTATCTATAGAAATAGATCTAGAATCTAGAGTCTAGCCCGAAAACCGGAGAGTGACTGCAGCATTGGGCATTATGCAGATCTGCAAAGAGTTCTAGATCTAGATCTAGATCACAATCCAGGCTCTAGTATTAGTAAGTAGATCTAGATCTAGTCTTGTATTTAGAATCTACTAGCTCTAGAAATCTAGTAACTAGATCTAGATCTAGTAGATTTAGAATTCAGTAAGTCTAGATCTTGAACTCTAGAGTTTTCTCGAATAATCTAGCTAGACTAGATCTAGATTTCTAGCTCTTAAAAACTAGACTAGTTTCCCCATAGTCTGTCTAGATCTATATTTAAATCCATGGCTAAATTAGTGAAGTGGTAACCATCTTAGGGTCCTAGAGTTATAGACTGACATAGGCTTAGATGTTGTTAGACGGTTTGAATAGATTTAAAAGGTAATTTTTGTATGTTACCACACTCTAGCTCTAGTTTAAAGAAAACATTTTAAAAATTCTAGATCTAGACCTTCTCTTGACTTGGGTTAGCAGCCAAGAGCTTAGGTTGTGGTTAAATATCTTACAGTCATTGACATATAATGGAGGACCTACTTGTATAAGTAAAGGGTGCTAAATGTATTAACACTATCTCCAGCTAATTACATGACTTTATTTACTTTATAATACTTTTAAAGTTTAAAGGGTTCCTGTGTTTATCTAGCCTTAATTGTATGCTTTCAGGTGTTGAAGTTTTGATTCTGCTGTGTGTTCAAATGCCGTTCCGTCCTAGCAAGAAAAGAGGTTGTGTTTAAGGACAACATTAAAGTGTTTGAATTGTGTGAATATTGTAAGCTATATTTAATTCTTTGAATTTTGATAAAAATGTTGATAAATGTTACATAATTTAATTTATTTAAATTTAAACTCATTTCGGTAAAACATTAAATTTTAAACATACTGAAGTAGATCTACATAGCTTACTTGGTAATATAATTTGTATAACAAAAATTAGTCACATTTGTGAATTTCCTTCACCACCACTGTTATCAATAAAGAGTAAAAATTAATTATATTATATGGTATATATGTATTATATGACATAATGTTGTTATACTATATTGTTTTATTTCAGAGCATCATTTCAAGGTCGGACAACTATATGTTTATTCTAACAACATTTACTTGAGAACAGAAAGGTGTTTGTAGTCAAGGCTCAAGCTGAATCATTTAACAGTCTTTGAGTTGTAAGTGTTCAAACATTTAGAAACTTACATTTTTTGTATTTGTTAGACAAGAAGAAATAAGTATTGCTATTTACATTAAGATTTTATTTTTATATTGACTGCTTAGTATATAAAAATTCAATACTATAAAGCCTAATGTTATTACCTATTTTGCTAATTTAACCATTTTTAAATTCCTATAGTATAATTTTTTTGAGAATTAAAACAACTCTTAAGATGTTTAAATAATTTTTAAGATTATTAATGGTATATAATGTTACTTATTTTATACTACAGCAGTATTGGCAGTGGCAACTCCTACAGAATGCCAAAAAGGAAACAGGAGCCAAGCGGTTCAGGTAAGAAAAAAGTTGATTTAAATTCATTTAAAAATGGTCAGGTAATTTGTTTTACAATTCTAAAATCAGCTGTTATAGCTTATCAAGCTGTACAATTAAAAAATGTGTGTACTGCTACAATAAATGTCATAATAATTATAGCTCTATTTCACAACAGTAGCAGTAGGCACAGAGGGCCTTTTTTCACATTGGCTGTTTAAAAACATTTTTGCAACATATTAAAAAGGGCAATTGAATATTAAAGATGTAGTAGAAAGTGAAAATTTACAAATATATGTTTGTAAAATTTAAATTATTCGCTATTATTAAATTAGCACTTTAGTAACATTGTTTTTTCTGTAAGATGGAAATTAAACTGATACATTGTTTCAGTTGTGGCAAGCTGTGAAATTCAAAACAAGCAAATAAAGATTGAAGAATCAGGTGTATTTCATCCAGGTAAGATATACTAAAACAGTTAAGGCAATTATAATGTAAACAGTTTAATATATGTGCTAGTTTAATATCTAAATTACTGTTGTAAACTTGTTTCATTAAAATGCAGTTTATCATTAAATCTAACTTTTCTGTTGCTAGAGAAATAATTTGTTGTCTGTTACTGTAGGAAATCATGAAGCTGAGATGTGCTATGGAGGAGAAGCTGATCTACACAAACATGTTGCTGGCTGTAAGAAGAATCCAGGTCACAAAGGTTTTATACCTCTTAAAGATTTCAACGCAAGTTGTCTCCCCTCACGTTACCATGACGACGACCTCTTGTCTGAGACAATCAAAACAATGGCAGACCTAACTGTCCAGGTAAAGACTAAATTCACCAGTCTAGAGAGACCAGAGTTTTACCAAGACACTCAAGTTCCATATCCATGTTATAATGACAGAGGACGTCGCGTGATGAGGTTAGGGACGGGGAGGGTGTGGTATGTGAAGAAGTACACAGAGAGTGGCGGAATGGGAACTTGTCGTTGTGCCAAGTGTCAAGTCTCTGCCACACCCAGCAAAGTGTGGGGGAAGGTTGAAGTGTTGACAGCCACACACGTGGTGTTTGATGACAGTGAGGCGAGACAGACCAGGTGTGTTTTAGGTTTTGATGACAATAAAAGTTCAGGGGTCAGTCTTGATGGCTGGGAGATGGAGGGTAGGGCAGACATTGAGAAAGACTGGTGTGAGTTGAGTTATGTGACATGTGACTTAGAGTTGGTTGATGAACTGTACAAGATGTGTCAGCGCTTTGAAGGTCTATGTAGGAATGTAATGGACAAATACAGGAGATTTGATGATGTGGACAAGTTGACCGTTATAGTGTCACATCCTCATGGCTGTCCTAAACAGGTCTCTGTAGGACAATGGACACACAAACATGAGAGGGGTGTTGATGATGATGATGATGATGATGATGACGATGATGATGATGATGCTGATGATGATGATGATGATGTCTATGATCTTATCACCTGGACCAGGTACTGGTACACAACATGTACATGTCCAGGCTCCAGTGGAGCGCCTGTCTACAGGCTGGGATATGGCGGGTTGTTGTTGTACCATTACCATCCCCACAGTGGATCAAACTCTGAAGGAAATTATAGTGGGGAGTGGTGGCACTGATGTAACTGTTAGTTCTCTCCCCTTGTCTACACAATGTAAACAAACAAAATGGCGGAACCTTTCCAGTCATTAAACTGTTTGTGTAAAGACTTGCATGTCTTGTAAACATTTTATTACGTTTAAATGATTAAAACAAATGTTTTGATGGATGTAAACGTTTAACCAAATTAATTCACATGTACATTGATGGGTTTTACAGTTTTTTTTGTTTCAAATGTTGTAAATAATTTGCTTATAATTTTTGTCGGCAAATTGTTGTCATATGAACCTGTAAAATGTAACCTACCTACCAAATGTCATATTTATACTGTTTGTTTACGAAATGTTCACACTAAACGACATTAAATGGTGGAAGAAAATATCTTTTTACTGTTGTTATTTTAATCTTTGTTGTCTGTTGATGTTTAAGTTGTTGTTAAACAGCTCATGTTGTGATGTTGATGTTCGCGCCAGGTTGTCATGGGTTGTAAGTTTAAACTTTACAACAAAGTCCATTTGTTTTTGCTCAATACACCCGTAAGTCTAATTTAAATTAGAAAATGAGGAATTCTAATCATTTAAAAATATTTGACACATCGCATACTATATTTAGATACTTCGTCGCTTCTAGACCTGCTCCAATAGAAATGTAAAGTGAAAAAGTAGTTTGATGCTGTCATTGACTGACATTTGTGTAAACACTGCTGTCATTGACTGACATTTGTGTAAACACTGCTGTCATTGACTAGAAATCCTTGAACAAACTGAATGTGATATTGTAAAACATCTTTTGCACAGGTTGATAGATCGGCAGTAAAAGAACAACTAGTGTAAATGTAAAACACGGAATATAAGTTTTTAAACATGAAAACTGTCAACCGTGGAATAAATAACGCAATTGGAGAAATGGGACGACATGATCGAGTAAAAGACTACGCGCATTTTATCCACAATGACACGAGTTTGATTCCCATGTTAGATTACCTTTTTTGTTGCACTAATAATAAAATTATATTATAATTAGTCTGGGTGTTCTGCGTGGGCTCAATGACGTAATAAGTCATGGGTATAACACCAACACATGAACTCTACTTTCTCTGCCAAATTGCCTGCATGCTATGCAAGTTAGTTAAAGTTGCTGGTCAATTTAAATATAATATGTAACACAATGTTTAACACAGATGTTACACCAATCCGACTAAGGTTGGAATATCGATACGTTTTCAGGATAGCATGTACATTAATTAGGGATTATATCGGTTTCATGTTCTTCGCATATCAGAAGAAGACTCCCGAACATAGCACTAGAATGGACTCCACATGGAAAAGGGAGGAAGATCACACGGAACATGGAGGAGAGAGGAAGACTACTGGGAACATGGAGGAGAGAGGAAGACCACTGGAAACATGGATGAGAGAGATGGAAGAAGTACTGGGTACTGACAAGACCTGACATGAACTGAAGTGGCTCGCCCAATACAGAGTGAAATGGCGGAGATTTGTGGCTGACCTATACTCTACAGGAAGGGGCGAGGTTTAAGTAAGTAAGTATATCTGTTTCATAAGTATACACTCTGTAAGATATTGTGATAAAAACAATAAAACAAGTGTATTAAATAAAAGTTCTTTGACAAAATCAAGCGACAGTGCGATCTCTAAATTGAAATATACGTTTTTATGGTCAAAGGGAAGTAACAATGAAAATAATTCAATAAAAAGTATTGACATAGTTGTATCCCTGTTTATTAAATTTGACGTTTTACATTTTTGTATTTCACCATAAAATATTTTTATTCACCCGCCAGCTTGCAAAATATAAATGTAAAGAAAATTCTATTAAAATATTTGAATGACAGCCCACATTCTGGGATAAAATTCAGTAAATTTTAGCATCACGATCGGTTGTTTGTAGTTTTTTCTTTTAAATCAATCTCCAATGTTTCCGCCTCCATCAGTTTCTGCAATGTAAGCAGTTCCTTTGTTGTTAGGAGAATAATGTTTTTATTAGAGCGAATTAAATTGATAACAAGATAAGTACAACACATTGTTACCGTCACAGAGTATAGTGTACATGGAACAGATGAAGTAGAGTTCCTCAATAGCAACAGTTGCAGATTTGTTTTATTGAACGTTTACAGCAAGGATGTCAAACATTTAAACCTTCTAGATGATACAGCATTTTGAGTATCAAAATCAGGGGCGGAACTACAGTACCGCCAGACCCCGCAATGCCACGCCATTTAGGGGCCCAGAGCCGCTAAATTTTTATAGTTAAAAAAAAGTAAATTTTCTTTCATTTTTTGACTTGATGGTTGTTTTGTAAAAAATTACCGTAGCTACGGTTGGATTATCTTTATTCGATAGACACCACCCCACGCTCTTGTATCTTCTTTTTCCCTTTGGTTTTAAACAACTGTGAAAGCCGAGTCTTTCTCATACAATTAAACTTATCAAAGACGAGAAAAATGGCCCGTTGAGGAAGGATACACCGGGCGCTAGGTTGATAGTTCTGTCTCTTTTCTCTAAACTAAAACCAACCCCCCCCCCCCCCACACACACCACCCCCCACCCCCACCCCCACCCACCCCACACACCACCCACCCACCCCCACCCCACCCCCACCCACCCACCCCCACCCCCCCACCCCCACCCCCCCACCCCCAAAAAACATGTCTACCGTCCCATTCAACGAAATATAATTATATACTTTTTCCAGTGTCCGACCCCTCCCCGAAAATTCTACCCCCGCCCCCGAAAATTTCAAGTACTCCCACCCCTCTCCGGGGAGGAAAAAGTCTGAAAGAAACACTTGTGTCGCGCTTAGCCACTACGCGAAGAATTGCATTAAAGAAATTGCGAGAAAACCACTTTTTAGATTAGACACATTAATTAGGCGGTAATTTTATTATAGAGTATCGATGAAGAAATTTCTTTTGAGTTGGGGAAGGGGGGGGGGGGGGGCTCAGACGTTCTTACGCGGGGGGTGGGGCTTCGCCCCTACCCGAAGAATTGTATGCAAGAAACTCTTCACGCAAACCATTTAGATTAGACAATATTTCCTTTTTATTCAATGTTTACACGAGAATCAATGACGTCATATTACTGTGTGCACTCTCTGGTTTTGAGATTATTTTCTACTCTAGCCATATATATAAATATATATAAATATATATATATATATATATATATATATATATATATATATATGGGGGCCTAAAAAAATTTTTTGCGGGGTGGCCCTTTTTTTCTAGTTCCGCCCCTGATCAAAATGTTCCTTTCTAACTCGGGTTTAGAAACTGTCCAATAGTTTTACTTACACCACTCAATGTATGGAGATGTCCGAGACAGTGAAACATGATGTCAGGCACGTGGTGTGAATGCCGAGAGACATTTGGGGGCAGGGGGGCTGTGTACGTGATTGAGCGACATATACAAGTCAAAATCTCCAGGAATATGTAAAGTGCTCAACTGTTAGCCGTGACTTCCTCTACCTAGGTGGTGACTGTGAGTACCAAACATTACCGTTGCGATGTGTCACCAGCAGTAGATTGGGCCATCATTGTGATGTGTCACCAGCAGTAGATTGGGCCACCTTTGTGTCACCAGCAGTAGATTGGACCACCCTTTTGTCACAAGCAGTAGTTTGGTCCATCATTGTGTGACCAGAAGTAGATTGAGCTACCCTTGTGTCACCAGCAGCAGTTAGGGCCATCCTTGTTGTGTGTCACCAGCAGTAGATTGGGCCTTCCTTGTTGTGTGTCACCAGCAGTAGATTGGACCACCATTGTGACACCAGCAGTAGATTGGGCCATCCTTGTGGTGTGTCACCAGCAGTAGATTGGATGTCATGGGTTGTAAGTTTAAACTTTGCAACAAAGTCACATTGTTTATGTCTAATGCAACTGTAAAACTAAGATGAATAAGAACATTTGAAAAAAGTGGAACATCAGGTAGTGTAGTTTATATTTCGACGATTCTAGACTTGCTCCAATTGAAATGTAAAATGAAATCTTGCTTATGTGATAGACTAAGAGTTGTGTAAGCATTGTTGTCATTCTAATTTACTAGACATCATTGAACAATCTGATGGTGATTTTGTGAATAACTTAAATAAAAGTTTATGGACCGCATTGGTATAGGCCACGGATCGGCAACCTTTTGAAGCGGGAGAGCCAAAAGTTACAATTTTCAAAATTTCCCTGGTTTTAAAGAGCCACTAAATTTTTTTTATTTCAAATATTTTATTTTTTATTAAGATTATAAGTACTTGTTTAAGGAGCTGGAGAGCCGCATCTTGATATCAAAAGAGCCGCATGCGGCTCGCGAGCCGCAGGTTACCGACACCTGGTATAGGCTACTTAACTTGTATTATTGTAATACATAAAACACTTCAAATATTTCAAAAATTATAACTGTAAAGCGGAACTTTAAAAAATCAACTGGATAAATGGGACGACATGTTCGAGTGATTGAATACAAGCATTTTGTCCCCAAGAGCACGAGTTTAAATCCCAGGTTTGTTTACGTACTTTGGTGTACATATTCTTATCTCTCATGTGTACAGGACATGTTTGGAGGAATTAAAGTTCTACTTGGTGTTCCGAATGGACTCAATAGCACAATAAGTCATGGGTAGAACAAATAAATGAACTTTAAATTTTCTACATAACTGAGGAAATTGTATGCATTTCATTTTCAGAGCGTAACACTTTTAACTTAGTAGACGGAGTAATCGGTCTGAGAAATCCTGAAACCAGGGTAACAACACAGCAGCTTAAAATTCCCACAAGTCTCGTCTTGTGCCCTTACAAATTGCTATTAATTAAGGGTGCCATACGGATTTAATAAAGTGTCATATTTAAATCTGCAAGCTGTTTATAGAAATTTTCATGTATTAGATGATATGTAATTATTGCATATATATTCAATTAACTACTTCAAATATATAATAATAAAAACAAGCATTATTGTTTATAACATCAATAATGTTACGCATCCGCATAATTATTATAATTTTATTAATATGATATATTTCTGCTAAACATTTTTGAATAATATCAATATAAGCCTAATGTAAATATCATATTGGATTTTTCCAAAGAATTTTTATATTAATTAGGGCACAACGATGCAGGCCGCCATCGCACGCAAGCATGGAAGTTGTGGTATCCTTTGTATATTAAGTAGGTCACTGAGAATCAGGCAGCCATTGCACTCAAATGGTAAATGTTTTGCTGTCCTTCAGCTACTAAACGTGTGCCAATACTTTCAGAATTGTGTGGAGGCTTTTTATATGTTATATTATAAGCACATCTAGCAGTGAGTATAAACAGAATAGT